TCAACATGTGTCCCCTCTTCTTCATGTCTCTTCTACATCAACATGTGTCCCCTCTTCTTCATGTCTCTTCTACATCAACATGTGTCCCCTCTTCCATGTCTCTTCTACATCAACATGTGTCCCTCTTCTTCATGTCTCTTCTACATCAACATGTGTCCCCTCTTCTTCATGTCTCTTCTACATCAACATGTGTCCCCTCTTCTTCATGTCTCTCTACATCAACATGTGTCCCCTCTTCTTCATGTCTCTTCTACATCAACATGTGTCCCCTCTTCTTCATGTCTCTTCTACATCAACATGTGTCCCCTCTTCTTCATGTCTCTTCTACATCAACATGTGTCCCCTCTTCTTCATGTCTCTTCTACATCAACATGTGTCCCCTCTTCTTCATGTCTCTTCTACATCAACATGTGTCCCCTCTTCTTCATGTCTCTTCTACATCAACATGTGTCCCTCTTCTTCATGTCTCTTCTACATCAACATGTGTCCCCTCTTCTCATGTGTCTCTATACATGTGTCCCCTCTTCTCATGTCTCTTCTACATCAACATGTGTCCCCTCTTCTTCATGTCTCTTCTACATCACATGTGTCCCCTCTTCTTCATGTCTCTTCTACATCAACATGTGTCCCCTCTTCTTCATGTCTCTTCTACATGTGTCCCCTCTTCTTCATGTCTCTTCTACATCAACATGTGTCCCCTCTTCTCATGTCTCTTCTACATCAACATGTGTCCCCTCTTCTTCATGTCTCTTCTACATCAACATGTGTCCCCTCTTCTTCATGTCTCTCTACATCAACATGTGTCCCCTCTTCTTCATGTCTTTCTACATCAACATGTGTCCCCTCTTTTCATGTCTCTTCTACATCACATGTGTCCCTCTTCTCCATGTCTCTTCTACATCAACATGTGTCCCCTCTTCTCATGTCTCTTCTACATCAACATGTGTCCCCTCTTCTCATGTCTCTTCTACATCAACATGTGTCCCCTCTTCTTCATGTCTTCTACATCAACATGTGTCCCCTCTTCTCATGTCTCTTCTACATCAACATGTGTCCCCTCTTCTCCATGTCTCTTCTACATCAACATGTGTCCCCTCTTCTTCATGTCTCTTCTACATCAACATGTGTCCCCTCTTCTTCATGTCTCTTCTACATCAACATGTGTCCCCTCTTCTTCATGTCTCTTCTACATCAACATGTGTCCCCTCTTCCCATGTCTCTTCTACATCAACATGTGTCCCACTTCTTCATGTCTCTTCTACATCAACATGTGTCCCCTCTTCTCATGTCTCTTCTACATCAACATGTGTCCCCTCTTCTTCATGTCTCTCTACATCAACATGTGTCCCCTCTTCTTCATGTCTCTTCTACATCAACATGTGTCCCCTCTTCTTCATGTCTCTTCTACATCAACATGTGTCCCCTCTTCTCATGTCTCTTCACATCAACATGTGTCCCCTCTTCTTCATGTCTCTTCTACATCAACATGTGTCCCCTCTTCTTCATGTCTCTTCTACATCAACATGTGTCCCCTCTTCTTCATGTCTCTTCTACATCAACATGTGTCCCCCTTCTTCATGTCTCTTCTACATCAACATGTGTCCCCTCTTCTTCATGTCTCTTCTACATCAACATGTGTCCCCTCTTCTTCATGTCTCTTCTACATCAACATGTGTCCCTCTTCTTCATGTCTCTTCTACATCAACATGTGTCCCCTCTTCTCATGTCTCTTCTACATCAACATGTGTCCCCTCTTCTTCATGTCTCTTCTACATCAACATGTGTCCCCTCTTTTCATGTCTCTTCTACATCAACATGTGTCCCCTCTTCTTCATGTCTCTTCTACATCAACATGTGTCCCCTCTTCTTCATGTCTCTTCTACATCAACATGTGTCCCCTCTTCTTCATGTCTCTTCTACATCAACATGTGTCCCCTCTGTGGAAAGAGACTCTTAAAGTTTCAGGAACAAACCCCCCCCCTTATCACCTGAATCTCCTCTAGAGCACCATTGAGTTCTTTGTAACCAAATGTCTCTCAGAGGGGCGTGGGGAGGGGCTCCTTATTTTCATCTAAAGTAACAGACAGAGAATCAGCACTTTGGAAACAGGGCTGAAACAGAGGGGATTATGGGTAATGCTGCAATGATCTGTTTGGTGTTTCAGCCAATCAGAGACAGGCTCTGGATATATCTGAGACCTGTGATATATTGATGAGAAACTGTATAATAGGAGACCTTTAATTTGTCAATTACATTTGATAGACCGCTGTATCCGCCACAGACGCATGGCAACTGCTACTAAAGTGTTTGCACCCAAGTATTTTAATTGTGTTCTAACTACAATACTTTGTAGTCGTTACAGAACTGAACGTTATGGTTTTGAATGTGGGGAATACAGTAGGTGGGTGAGGTAAAGGGGGGAGGAGGTGGTGGAGGTGAAGGCGAGTGCTCTGTGAGTAATAATGCCGCCGAAAACAGCTGAAAAACCGGAGCGCCAGCAGCAAAATGAGGGGGGGGGGGCAGGGTTACACAGAGGAAATGGGGCAGGGGGCGGTACTCACTGACAGCCTATAGTTCTGCATCATTTTATCAAACTCCTCGTCAATTTTTTTGTATTTCTTCAGTGCGGGGGGTGAGCGAGAAGGGCTCCTCGGGGTCTGGGCTCTCAGAGTCCCGGTGCTCTTTCTTGTTCAGAGCCTTCGTTCCCCAAACACAAGAAGAAGAAGAGGAAGAGGGAGAGGAAGAAGAAGAAGAGGTAGATAGAGAAAGAGAAGATAGGTTAGATAAAGTGATAAAAGTGTGACGGTACTCACGCCGTAGCGCTTGAAGAGGGCTGTCCAGGTCCTCCGTCTTGCGGTACTTTTCTTCGTTTAGCGGGCTTTGGTCGATGGAGTCGTCTCCGTCGGGCTCGGGGCTGTTGCAGCCGTTAAAGCCTTTCTTTCGCAACGTCTGAGGCGGGTAAAGGAGGAGAAGGAGGCACATTTACATTTCATTTTTCATGCACATATGGGGTGAACTCCTGGAGACAGTGATGTACATTAGCATTAGCACACAGAAAAATCTGTCTGACAACCAGCTCGTAGCTAACTTTATCAACAGCTATATGTGTGTCGCTGGACAGGAAGTGGACGATGTGTAGAGAGCTTGTATGTTGAGAACAGCTGCCGTCAGCAGACAGTAGATTCCCATAAAACCAACGAGCTAAAATGTGTTGTCTATTATTGGTGTAGCTTACATTGTGATGTGATTATTTTATCTTGCACATTTTTACTTGTGTTTAATTAACTGTCACAAAACCCATTGTCCTCCCGGGATTTATAACGTATCTTATGCTTTCACACAAACACAAATGACCATCTTGATTGCACCACACAGCCTCTGCTGACTCCCACTCTGTTCTTTGTATAAAAAAAGCAACCAGCAAAAGTCCGAAGGAGCAGTTTGACCCGAGCCGACACAAACAAGGAGGGTGTTTTTCCTCCAGCAGCGTTTTAAAGAAATAGAAACGGAACCTTTCAGAGAGCACAACCTCTGATAACATCCAATCCATTTTCTGAGGTCAGCGTTCGTGACATGTGCCGCCCACGTGGAAGCACGTTATTAAAACTGAATCTGCACTTGCTCGCCCAGCAGGTGCTCTCAGGAAGAATAGATTTCAAATGGAAACACATGGATGTCTATAGAAAACAAGCACCCCCAATCTTTACCAAGTGCTGCTGTTGTGGCGAGAATGTAAGCATGTCATTGAGGCCTCACACCTCTGAACACGCAGGCCAATCAACAGGGTGAGTAATTGGTGTGAAGCCTTGCTCCGAGGAAAAGCAGTTGAACAAAGAGTAATGGGTGAGATGGGAAGCATGCTGTGGTGTTAGCGCCGAGGCTAATGGCAGTCAGGTTGCTTCAGTGTTAGCACACTTTGGAAAAGGCGAGAAGGGAGAGAAGAGAGGGAGGGAGAGAGGGAGGGAAGAGAGGGAGGGAGGGAGATAGAGGCTCTTATTTTGAGAGGATTCTGCTTAAACGAGATTTGCCGTTAAGTAGCTTTGCCGGGTGGGCCCTTGACCACGGAGCCAAGCAGAAAGATCCGCACAGCAAAATGGATCTTAGACCGGCGCCCGAGAGCCTTCTGCGGTCCACATGCTAGCTTTGGACCTGATTGGCGTGAGAGGAAGAGAACATCCCTACCCTTGAAATCTATCAGCAAAAAGAGTGTGGAGGCGAGCGAAATGAAATCCATCTTATCGAGTCCTTTAAATCTGTAACTGAGTCGTGAAAGACTTCAAAACAAATGAATAAATCTGCCGTTGCAAATGAGAATATTACATCCTGTCTCCAATATAAATTAGCATCAAGAAACAAGCAAGAGTCACGAGGCTTCACTTCAATCTAAAATAATCCATATTTATAGAATGTAATAAGAATAAGACTTTAAAAAGACCATACCAGTTTGGGAAGCTTGTTGTCGCATTTAGGAATGCATTGATTCTACTGTTTTGAGCCACCATTGACTTCCATTCATCTATATACTTCAGTTATTTTGGATTGTCTTTGAGGTAGAGCATAACAAGCTGCACACAAACCGTTGACATACTACGACCTGATGACGGGTTAGCAGTCAGTAAACTATTTGCACTTCCTGCAGAAATGGAGCTACTTTAGCATCGGGTTGGAGATGATGGATGCATTACAGATAACTCGTCTTTATGCTCTGCTCTCGACCAGCTTTAGTTACCAGCTGCTCGCTAATTGTATCAACACCTACTTGTGTGGTGCTGGAGAGGAAGGTGACCGTGGATTCAGAGAAGCTTTTAAGTAGAAAACAGTATATTCACATAAAACCAAAACAATGAGCTAAAAGAGAAAGAAATCTAGCTCGTCTGTTGCCTTCATTTTCTTTTGTTCACCATCTGCTTCATCACTTCATCAGCATCTAAATCTGTCCTTCAATTAACAGTGGATTTAGTTTTGCATGTTGTTGAGAACGGCTGCTTTCTGCAGATAAAACCCAATAAACGACGTTCTCATAAAACCAAAACAATGCTTACAGACGCTAAAACCCTCCATCAATATCGATACGTGTGGCTTTAACTTGATATGAACTGTTATGTTTACCGTAGTATACCACTCAGGCGGCTGCTAATTGTTTTGTATACAGTTTGGAAGAAGAACGCTTAAGACCTTCCTTTTTGATAAAGCTTATAGTTAGGGCTGATTAGATTCAGCCCCTAGTTTTGCTGATGTAGGCTTAGTTTGTCGGGGGACATCTTACTTCTTCCTTCTCTCTGTCTATACCTGTGTACTCTCATGTTCCCATTAACCCAGCTTCCCCAAATGTCTTTCTTTTTTGGTGTCTATATACGCCGGATCCGGAGTCATGGATGATCCTGCGCTCCTCTGTCCTGGATCGCGAGCCCTGGATCTTGAGTCGTGGCTGTGGTCCTGGATCATAGGTCCCCTGGATGGATATCCTCGTGGATTCATCTTCTATTATACACACATGCATTTCCAAACATCTTGGACTACCTATGTGCAAATGTATTATCTTTTCAATTTACCACTCGGCATCTATTGCAACGTCTGTCCGTCCTGGGAGAGGGATCCCTCCTCTGTTGCTCTCCTGAGGTTCTCCCATGTTCCCTTTAAACTGTGGGTTTGTCTCTTGGAAGTGTTTCCTTGACGATGTGAGGGTCTAAGGACAGAGGGTCTGAGGACAGAGGGTCTAAGGACAGAGGGTCTGAGGACAGAGGGTCTCAGGGACAGAGGGTCTGAGGACAGAGGGTCTAAGGACAGAGGGTCTGAGGACAGAGGGGTCTGAGGACAGAGGGTCTAAAGGACAGAGGGTCTAAGGACAGAGGGTCTAAGGACAGAGGGTCTGAGGACAGAGGGTCTAAGGACAGAGGGTCTGAGGACAGAGGGTCTTACGGACAGAGGGTCTAAGACAGAGGGTCTAAAGGGACAGAGGGTCTAAGGACAGAGGTCTAAGGACGAGGGCTCTAGGACAGAGGGTCTGAGGATAGAGGGTCTGAGGACAGAGGTCTAAGGACAGAGGGTCTAAGGACAGAGGGTCTGAGGATAGAGGGTCTGAGGACAGAGGGTCTAAGAACAGAGGGTCTAAGGACAGAGGGTCTAAGGACAGAGGGTCTGAGGACAGAGGGTCTGAGGACAGAGGGTCTGAGGACCGAGGGTCTGAGGACAGAGGGTCTAAGGACAGAGGGTCTAAGGACAGAGGGTCTAAGGACAGAGGGTGTCGTATTGTCATACTGATATTCTGTACACACTGTGAAGTCCACTGAGACAAATGTAACATTTGCGATATTGGGTTATATAAATAAACATTGATTGATTGATTTGGAAATGAATGGAAATCAATGGGTGTTTAGAATGGTAGGAAACATACAATAAATAGCGTTAAATATGACTGTGAGGTTTTTATACTTTACATTTGTAGATAAATGGACATTAATGGTTGTTGAAAATTGTACCTTGACCATAACCCAACTGAAACTGCATGCATTCATCATGGGGTGGTAGAAACTGGTTTGGTTGTTTTAAGCCTCAGTGTCAGATTTCTTTCACAGTGCATCGCTTCAGAGACGATCCATAAGCAACAACAGAACTCTAAGCATCGTGTTCAATACTTCACTCACCCTTTATTTTCTTTAATTAATTATGCTGTGTCAAGTGAGGGTGATTAAAACATGAGCACATGTTCAACGACTCCCACTGCGAACCATCTCTGCTAAGTGAGGATGACTCAACTCCATGCAACCCTGCAGCTTATGGAAAAGTGCAACCGGGGGGAACTCGAACCTGCGGGAGCTTCAACAAAACCCCGAGGAGGAAGACGCAGACGCTTCTCATTTGGGAGGAATTTAGCGTTATACAGTAACAGCTAAAGAGGGTATGATGATGCCACTTGGATGTCCTTAACATCTGAGTCCTGGACATCCTTAAAACAAATCTGCCACTGCAAATGAGAAAATGAAATCCAATTGTAATGAATGTTATGCGAAGATAAGGCCAAACAAGTGGTATATTAATCCTCATGTATCTTTAACATCACGGCCAAACATTTTGGAAGCTTTGTTGGCATTAAGGAATGTTCAATGCATTTCTTCTGCTGCTCTGAGCCACCATTGACTTCCATTCGTTCATATATTTATGTCAATCTATGTAGCGGACTCTCAAAACAGATGAGAGGGTGATGATGGATGTCCTTAACATCTGTAACTGAGTCCAGGAAATCTTTAAAACCCCTCTCAGCTGGCAAGGACTCCTTGTCTTCGTTGGCAAATCTTTTATCGCAGCTAGACTACAAGGAAATAGTGCTACTTGGAGATTTCAACTGGGCCTGGTTAACTGCAGTGTCAGAGGATTTTAAAAACCTTCGTATCTCTTTGAATGTTACTCAGATTGTGGACAGTCCGACTCGCCCTAACATTAAGTCCCCAAATAAATCCTCCCTAATTGATCTCATCTTAACTAATGTTCCCTATAAATACTCATCTGTGGGAGTATTTGCGAATGCTCTGAGTGATCACTGTTGTAGCCACAATTAGGGACACTAAGGTCCAAAAGGTTAAACCTCGTATTATCATTAAGAGAGACATAAAACATTTTGTGGAGCAGGGTTTTGTTCATGACCTGTTTGGGTTTGATCTGTGTGCTGATGTAGAAACGGCAAGGTCTTATTTTTATCTTGGTTTTATGGAGATAGAATGGAATAGGTTGTAATTTGTACCCCTGTAATTATGTTGTATGATGTCCTTTTGTTTTCTGTTGTGTATGTGTAACCAATGTGCTGCAGGTCTCCCTTGAAAAAGAGATGGTTGATCTCAATGGGATTTAAACCTGGTTAAATAAAGGCTACAAACAAACAAGAAATCTGCAAATGAGAAAATGACATCCAAATGTAATGAATGTTATGCGAAGATAAGACTTTAAGTGACCAA